ACACCCTGATATTAAAACTTGACTGAGGGAATGAGTATATTTATAAAATCATCCTAGAAATTCTGTAATATGGTTGTAGCTTATAATGACAAATCAAATACACAAGAAATAAGATTCTTTATGTAAACAGATCTGAGATAAATTACCTAATAAATTGTTACTAGAAGGAATTTTGCAGCAATTTATTCTTCATATGCTTGTTTTTTTTTTATTTTTATAATTTCATAAAATGATAATAAATTTATGGTAGAGACTAAAACAAAGAAAATATATGGGTTGGAAGTTTAGTCTTTTTTTTTTTTTTTCTGGACATAATCAAATCGTACTTTTCATCACTGTTCAGAATTATGGCCAGGTTTAGAGAAGGATGAATAATATGAAGAATAACTGCCAGAGTAAAACCAAGTCCTCAAACACTTCACTTCTCATTAATCTATTTTTCAAATGTAGCTAAAATTACTTAGTTAACAGTTTAAAGTTATCTTTTCTGTCTGTATTTATATCATTGAAAATGAAAATTTTGTTCTCCATTTAATTATTTTACTGTCTATTTAGTTATTCTAATTCTATTTTCAGCATGTAAGGTGAAAGAAAGTTGTTTTTTTTTTTTTTTTTTTTTTTCCTGCAGTTGCATTGATCTGAAGGAACATATCTGTCACCAAGTGCCAAAGTCCACAAGTTGTTTACATGGACAAGAACAGTTATATCATAGTGCCATTTTTTATTTTTTTCTGACAGAATACACTTCAGTGACAGTGTTCTACATAGAATTTTTAACTTATTTACATTTCTCTAGTTTTAACCTCACCATCAAGAAGTATGAGATGGATTTCATCTTTTTTCTTTTTTAACCTTCTTCAAATACTTGCTAGCAACAACAATAAATAAGGTATTTCTAGAAGAGTATTACATAAAAAATTATTTAGTCTAAATTAATTAATCAAATTCCCTTTGTGGTCAGTGCAGAGAGAGGTAGGCACTTTCAGAAGGCAACTGCTACTCTCCTAAAATGTGTCAAATATTCTGGGATTAATTTCTCTTTATTCTTTAGCTCAAGAACTGACCATGAATGCATGTCTAATTTTTATAAATTGGCTAAAGACAAATGAGATGAAACATATTCCCAAACCATATTTCTGTATTGGACCGTTCTGCAAAATATTAATAAGAGTTTCAGAGCTGTGAGTAGAGCTTTAGTATTACTGTCCAAGTAGGTAACTGCCTAAGGCAGATAGAAATCTAAATATAACAAGTAACACATACTGTCCAGAGCCTATTCTGAACTGGTATATGGTGTAATAAAAAAAGTCCTTAAAAGCAAATAAAAATTATAACTAAATTATCAACTTATCTCTATACTATGCATTTAGTAATGTATGTTTCCTTTTGATCTAAAAATTCATTAGATAATGACGAGTGTTTGGGCAAACATTTGTGACACTGGATCAGCCAAACATTAAACATCTCCAAGTTTTAAAAAAAAAAAAAAAAAAAAAAGAGAGAGAATGGGAGATTAGCAAAACAAGAATAATAAAAAATAAAAGGCTTTCTAAATTACTGTTGCCTGTGTCATTACATTTCATATTGTGCATGGAATCTAAATACATTGCTTTGTTCTGCATGACAAGCAGAAGTGAGCATTCATACATTACTCAGCCACTTAATTAAGAGCCTGGGATATTTGCAGTTAGCAGAAACTAATAAGGGAGCCACATTTAAATTCAAATCACTCCTCAGGGTAGCTGTCTGCAGCATAAGCAAAGCTTACTGGCTAGATGTTCCTCTGAAGGCTCAGCTGAAATCCTAGTTTTACTGTATTTGTGAGTAGCGAATAATTCTATTTATGAAGAAAGGTAAAATCTGTTTGTAAAACAAACAACCAAAAAAAATCTGTTTGGGATTTTCAAAACCTATTTTTTTCCCAGTTATTTTTAGATTCCTGTACTTCCCATGTTTTCTAATAAAATAAGAATGTGATTTAGGGCTTTACTAGCTCAATTTAAGAGGCTTTGTTAAACAGTCAGCTGGGCTTACTCTGTGTACAGGAATAGCAGCTATTGCAGATGGTAAGCAGCCATTCTCACAGCCTCAAGGAAACATATCCAAACTGATGTATTGATACATTAGATACTACGTACATTTCTAAAGGCTTTAAAAATGTAGTTTACTGTGCCACCAGTTTTCTTCTGTTTCTCACTCTTGAGGAAAAAATTTTACATTTTTGTTGACAGTTGTGATACTAAAGGAATTTCAGTGTGGTTTTTTTTCTTGTGAAAAAATAAAAAAGTAGTAATAGAAATATTTAAATTGACATTAACTAGGAGCACTGTCATTAACATGAACCCACACCATTTGCAGATAATTTCTAGTATCCTAAGAACAATTCTAATCTCTTCTTTCATCTTACACTTGAGGACATCTGCTTTGAAGGATCAGTGAATCTGAAATCTAAAATTCCATCTATTTTTTTGTTCTGTGAATTGAAAATTGTCTCAAAAATAGGTTTCAATTGCCCTCTCAAAATACAGATTGCTTATGGCATTTTATAAATGTATGTAATGAGCTTTTATTAATTGCAGTCATGTTACTTAGAATATTCTATTTCATTACATTTCTGAATTCTTAAATTTCAATATAGGAAAATTAAGTATAACTATCTGAAAACTCAAAAGAGAAATATCTTATTAACAACTCTTCTTATTTAATGTTTGGAAATATGGCAAAAGTGTTGATAGCTTGTTCCTTACAAATAAAGCAATATAAACTGCAAGTAAACAACGGATCACTCAAAACAAAGCAGCTAGAAATAGCTCAAAGTTGGCCATGTGCAAATTTTTGCCTTGAGAAACCTTGAAACGTTTGTCATAAATATGAGGAACAGTGAATATTTAATCTTTTCCACTATGTTAGAGTATGCTCACATCATAATGGATGCATTCTCACACAGCATGCAAGCATGTTTAAGATAACTGCAAATGAGCTATGTTTAAAAAAAAAAACAAAACAAAACAAAACAAAAACAAACAAAAAAAAAAAAACCAACAGAAGAAGAGTACTTCTACCCTAGCAATGAATCACTGTTATAAGCCATTATTATTACGTTACTTGCTGCCAGTATAAACCATACACAAACCCTGTTGGCTACTCATCTTGCTTTAAGTATGTATAACTGACAATAGAAAACATCTGCTCCTCTGTGACCTTTCCACGCTTCCACTAAATACAACATTTTTCTTTTCCTCGTAAGCTATTCTCCAGAGGATCTTTCTCCTGGGCTGTAAGTTCAGTTGGTCTGAGGCTCTCAGCCTTTGCTCTTAAAGTATGGGTATACTACAAGTTTTAGAGATTTTTGAATGCTTTGGAAATTCAGTGATGCTCACATACTCTTTTTAATATATTTACGATGAACTATATACTGTTAGTTTGTTTGAACACTTTTGTTTTACTATGCCATGTGTTGACCCCCAAATCGCATCAATGAGATTTCTATTTTTGTCTCTGTTATTTTTTTATATTGCTCCATAATGGCTTCAGAGGCAAAAAAGACTCTTGACTCACAACTTTCTGGATTACCTCATTGCCATAAAGAAATTTAATGTCGTTTTCAGGTACTAGCCCTTCAATCTCTCTTACCTGGGGATGCCTGTGCAAGTGTATGTCTATTCGAAGAAGTGGAATAGCATGGAGATGTTAGCATAAAGTGTTAACAAAGCCTGTTCCAAAATTAAATGTGGTTTAATTGCATCAATATTATTATGTTCACTCAGCATTTCTGAGAGGGCCTGAGGTATTTCTGCAAATGCAGCTTCACTCCGGAACTGATCTATCTGAATTTTTATCATGACATTAGAGCTCCCTGGTTGCAAACAGGGATTTCTGCATCCTATTCAAACCTGCAATTCAAGTAAGCCTTCAAAGGATAGGGATGTATTCTTACTCTTACATTGCTCGTAAGTAAATGGAGGAACAGAGAAATGAAAGTTTGTAATGTCTTAGGACATCTTCTTCAGCGTTTTACTTCTATCACCTGCAAAAGTTTTATTTGCCCAATGGCTTTTAATGACAGTGAAATCAGCAGTGCAAGTATGATGAAGTGGGTATTTGACTCAGAGCAAAGCTTAGAAGAGCTACTTCAAGTGCCAGTCTTTCTTGAAGAGCTGTGCTCCTGTTACATGACTGTAAGAGATTAACAATTTTGAAGTCAATTATGGAAAAACTCTCATAGTAGAACTATTTTATCAGTAAATTAGAACACATCTTGTAATCTGCCAACTTCACCAAAACTGAGTAAGTAGGCTCTATGAGTTCTGTAAATCAGGTTTGTTTTTCATTGTATTTTTTGTGATACTGAGCACAAGATTATTCATCTCATAATATATTCTTGAACAGGTCTCAAACACTGAGACCTGAAGTAAATTGTCACTTATTATGCAAAATACAGCTGAAACCACAAATGACTGCTGCTGCATAAATGTTGCTGTTTCTTTGGCTGTCGTTCTTTTTCAAAACAAATTAAGAAAATACATGAGATTTTAGATCAAAAACAGAAACATTCAAATCATCATTCTTTCTTGCACTCACAGTACTACCTGGAATGCTCTCCTTTGGTTGGCTTTGCCTCTGAAAGAATATTTTTAAGTATTGCTAATTGTTGTTTGTTTCTTCTTTGTTTGTTTTTTCTGTATCTATGCAGAAGTAAAATAAAAATCTTTCTAGAAATGTGTATTTTCTTGATCTTTCTCTTTTAATAGCATTTGTGATGTTTTCTTTCCAGTCAGTTAATCTTCCGCAGCTACATGTAATCTTCATGTTCTGTTGTGTCAAAGAGACAAAATTACAAAATTATTCTGATTAAATTATATAAAAAACTATATTACATTTTAATGTAGAAAAAGACTTAATGCAAGTGTTCAACCGGGGGGAAAAAAAAATAAATGGAAAATGTAGTGCTATTAAATTAATGGCACACTTAGTCCTCTATCACATCTTTCTGTCCACAGATTTTAAAGGAAATGAATAGTACTTTCTTTATTTGAAGATGGGACAAGTGATGCACAGAAACTGGTGGCTGTCTAGCAAGTGAATCTGAAGATTCAGTAATCATTATTTATTTGATGTTATCCTCATTGACCTACAGTAACTTATGACAGTGGGATGATGCTCTGTATTTCATGGAAAACTATCTGCAAGATGCAGAGCATAAATCACTTAAGGGTAAAGAATATAATTACACCCATGATTCTCACCAAGTTGATCCTCATGCATAAATTTAAACTCATACTAAAATGTGTGTAGACCCAGAACTTGAGGAGCTGAGCTGTATGAGCTGTATTTTGTTTTATTCAGAGAACCAGCAAAATATTAGTGTACTTCTATCATGACAAGTATGTTCTTGGAATAGATTTTAATGGTATATTGATTCTCTATCTGAATGAAATCCAGTCAGTACAATTCTTAGCCCTAGATAAAGACACTTACCATTAATACATTTTTCCATTAAATAAATATCAGTTTATTACCCACTTTCTTAAATATTTAAAATTTTAATGTTTCATTATTTTACTTTAACTAATAAAACTGTATTTTGGAATCTATTTGACATTTTAAATTAGCTTCATTATTATCAAATTGAAACTCTTAAGCATGCAAATGTATTACAGCTTATTTATAATTGCTCTAAAATTTCACAGAATTACATTCAATCATGAAATTCATATTTTTCTGTACCACTATATTTTTTTTGAAACATCACATTTATTTTATAATCTCTTTTTCATTCATATGCTCTAGTATCAGGCTCTAAATGAAGAGTTACATTAAAGATAATAAAAAAAATTCTAGATAGTCCAAGTTATCATTAATTCCCATTGATCTTAATGTTCTTAGATGGAGGAAGTTTCCTGAAGAAAACTTTTCTTCCCTTTTAGATCATTAATAATGATGAGAATAATAATAAGCAAATTTTAAAATTCCAGGCAAGTTTGAGGCATTTTGTGCTCCTAACAGTGAATTACCAGCTCTTACAGAACTTAGTAGGATACTTTTCATGCACATTCAAGGACAGTATTTGGTTCATGCTGAGGATAAGCATGCAATTTAAGTTCTGCCAGTGTAATATATATCTAACCTGCAATATGCCAGCTACTTCAGATGAGTACTCATGTCTCAGGAAGAGTCTTTCAGTTGTAGCAAATCAGGTGGTGGCTCTGCAAAGTGAATAAAGCATACACAAGGCATGTATATGATAAGACCTATGTCTGAAATACCTGATATCATACCTTATCTTCACTGTGGTTTTCCTTTTTGTATCTGCTTTAAACTTAAAGAATTCTCTGTAACATTACTGGTCTAAAACAGAGATTTCTGCACAAAAGAAAAGAAATGGTTGATTTATTTTTTTTTTCCCCAGATGTTTTTTTTAGGACTGGAGGTGAGAGGATCTGTTCCAAATCTCATGCTTTAAAACAGTACAAGATGCTCAACAATTCTATGAATGTGTAAGTTAGCTGAGTTAAAGAAATCAGCAAGGAACCAGTGGTGGATTGCTCTGAGGTTTATTTAAAAAGTACATTGAAATGACTGGTGGCTGTTCAAAATAAAAGTGACAAATAATGCTCATGTTACCAGTAAGTGAAAAATTAACCACATCACACCACCATCAGTTGTGATGTGATTAGAATTATTAGTATAATATCAAAACCACATCACAAAAAGAAGTTTAGCTACACTTCTGCTTTTCCAGTGTATCCAAAGTACAAGTAATCTAAAAACTGACTGAGTGCAAATGAAGAAAATGATTCTTTCTTCTTCAAGGCAAACGCTCAAATTTAAAAACAATACAGAGTGAAAGTCATTACTGTTTCAAGTGAAAACAAAACCTAATCCCATTTGAGGTCAGCTACAAAACATTAACACAAACAACAATGTCCTGTGTTAACAAAAAAGCCTCAAGTTTAAATCCAGTTTTACTTTTATGATGTGTTTGAGGCAAATGAGTAATTACATGGGGAGATATTAGACTCCTGCTATCTGTATTAAATCTATGCTGTAGATAAATGAAAATACTTCAACCTCCAAGGCTTTCTGGATAGAACCTATCAAAGTTAATTCAGTTACAGAATATCTACCAAAACCTGTGACTACCTCTAGACATTTTCAGTCCCTTATTTATCGTGGATGAAATGGGCACAAAGGATTTTCATGCAGTTATCATCTTTATGAACAGAGATAAGCAAGTCCTTTTTAACACAAGTCAGAACTGCCTGATAAATTAGCCTACATAGCTTTGCACATAAACTACTTTTTCTTTTTTAATTTATTATAGAGATAGTAGTAGATATAATCAGGATTTCCAAATATATAGTTGAGTTCTTGCACTAGCATCTTTGCAGTATAGAGGTTTACCCTGGTTAATCAATTATTTATTAAAAAGATATGCTCTTATAGCAAATGTTATATACATATATTTTTACCCGCTTATTTTTCAAGCACTTCTAGTCTGTGCATTGTGTCTGTGAAGATCGCCCTTTTTTAGGACAGTTATATTGTATTTATTGCACTAGACTGTTTCTAAAAAAGCTTCTGGAATGTGTTCATGGCTGCAGGGTATGTCTTCTATTACTTCTTCAAGAGAAACTGACACACCAATTTGCAGGTGATTCAAAACTCCATAGCAAAAGGCTGTAGTGCGGCACAAAGACATTCTTCATTAATATTAGTCTGTGTCATGACAATAATTTGACATACTGTGAAACAAAACACATAGGAACAGAGTCCTACTGTTCTTATGCCACAGGCACTTTTTCTATTTCAGATGGCTGATATTCTCTTCAGTGTTATAAAAATTGAAGCAAATGTATCTATATAGCTTCCTGTTTCATTTCACAGTAAATGCATACATCCATTTTACAGTCCATATTTTTGAGTTTTAACTAAACTTTAATGAGCTTGTTTACTTGAGACACACCACATTGTTCATTCTATCATCTAGCCTGGGCAAAAGGTAAACTTAGTAAGAAAGCCACTTGCTTGAAAATCTTCTGTTGTCTAGCAAACCTAAATTCATCATTAATGCCTGCTATTAAAGATTAAACAGGAATATTTGAGCCTTACATAGAAAAGTGGAACACTGTATCCAAAAAACTGACTGAAATAAAACAAGTCAAATCAGTGAAGCCCTTTGAAGTGAAAACGGCATTATAGCCTAAAAAGGTGAAGATGTTAGGAAATAAATCTTCGAATTTAAAATGTTCAAGAATGAAACACATTCAGAACACATGCTATTGATTTTCTCCATATCACAGTTTTGCTTTACTCCTGTCCTTTCTGCTGCTGAATGGAGAATGAAAGTAACTTGTCTTCTTTGTCCAAGACCATATATGAGCTACTTGTTCACTCGTTTGCCTCATGTAGGAAGGCTCGAAAAGCTCGCAAAGCTGCTGTTTAAACATTGTCCCTTGGGATGCTGCAGTATATAAATGCATTCTACAGAATGTCCTAGGTTACAGTAGCTCTTTTAAACTCACATCATTCAGGTGTATGAACTTTTCTAAATGGTTGTTATATGGTTTCTTAGAAAGCATTCACTACTATATTAACTGAATTCTCATCAGTGAAAAACAGCTTTAAATGCTCAGTTATTTCAATCCATTGTAAGACTTATCTAAAAGAAATGTAGTTCCAGTGACAATTTTGTCACGAGAGCATGAATCATTACATTATTTTTACCATTGACAATTCTGTAGGAAAACTCAAAATCTTAATTTTGATGTCTTTGTGAAAAGCTTACAGCTTGCTGAGATTAAGTGGGAGATTTGTTATTGCTTTAAATTTAGTCATCATGTTTTTTATTTCTCCTTTTTCTTTAATGGAGAAAAGAACTATATGTGCATTAGAGTGCACCATGGAATTAGTTTGTTTCCATTTTAAGCTGTAATTTTTTTACACTAGCAAGATCAAAGTCAGAAGTCTTGCTGGTGTTTGAAGCAGAAGATATTGTAAGTTTTCATTAGCTTTAGCTTCTGTGAGAATTTGCTCTACAGTCCTGAACCAACCCGAAAAACAATGTATTGTTTGAATGAGCAACCTTACATTCCTGAATCAGCATCTCATAACTGTAGATCATCTTTTAAAGAGTAACCCTTACCTACTGCACTGAACTCCTTGACACTGAATTTGCTTTGATTTTCTTGCTAAAGAGAATGTACATTTTAGTGTTTTCAGTTACTCTTGCAGCTGAGGAGATACCCTCTAGTTATCTGTGCCAGTTACATTATCAATATGCTTAGAGGTTCTAGTCTAGGTAATCCATGCCAACTGATGTAAAATATCTAACAAGAAATACTGAAGATCTTTTCTGTATTTAAAAACTACAAAATCATAACTTTTGTTTTGCTATCAATGGACTACTACAAGAAAATATTTGATAAAATGTTCATTCTCTTCCTAAAAGCAAAATTGCTACCTCTTGAGACAACCCAGTCTTCCCCTCCTTTTCAGGTAAGATAAATTGCCCAGGTTATTTTTAATGTTCTAAAAAGAAATACATCCAGACTTCATACTAATGGTTATCAAGAGGTGATTTATAGGAGAGGTCATTCCTGCTTTCTTGCTTCAAAGGTAACAACTTGATGCCTTTGTCAGAAACAGCACAGGAGCTGCTTCTCTTTGTCACATACTTTCATCATGAACAGCAATAAAGAAAGTTGGCAAAGCTGCTGCCTTTAACACTAGGCCTTGGAACACTTCCATATCTGTATCTCTGCACTCCAAAAGGTTCAATTTGCATGGCTGATGATATAGCATAAAAGGAGATGAGCATGAAGGAAGAAGTGGAGTTACTGACAAAGAAATGAGATGCTGACTGTTGGAATGCTGGAATATTTGCTGGTGATCTAGATGAAAAATTACAGAGGATTCAAAATCATGTAATATACTTAACATAGTCAATATGAGTACTGTGATTTTCAAGTATCTAGAGCAGAGAGTTTATGAAAAATGAGCTTCCCTGTTCATAAATACAAGGTAACATTCTTAGAAAGTATACTTTGAACTATCAGCTGCAATGTAACTGTTGAGCACAGAGAAGGAACAAATTGAAAGAGACAACTGTATGAATTTAGAAATCAACAACAACAACATACAGCTGAAAACAGTAATGAAGAAATTGTAGTGGTACAATGTAGCGATACGAGTCAACAGTATAGTTTCACCTTGAACACTGATGATTTCTGGTCACTATGCCCATGAATCATATAAAAACTTCAGTACTCAGAGAAAAGTGACAGAAAGGGTGAGTACAAAGAACTACAATGGAAAGTGCATTGAAAAGAAAGATGAGTAGTAACCTGTCTGAGAAAGACACAGAAAAAAACGCATGATCTTATTAATAAGTTCTCAGAGAATAACAACGCTTCTGCTAAAAAGAAATGTCTTCCTTATGCTAATGTTTCAGTAAGAAGTTTCTACTCTTAAAACAATGGTTTGAATGGCTCCTTGTTAAGCAAGTTACTATAT